AAACTTAGAGCTCTGTGGGAAATCTCTATCCATCCCTATCCCTTTAATATATCTATACATGGGAGTGTGCATGGATGTGTCTTGTATGGAAAGGAAGGAGTGTGCAAACAACGTGACTGACACTTTCACTCTCTATGTTCATTCCATACTCATGGGTACAAAGATATTATGGAAACCTTTGCAAGGACAGACCTTCTGTCCATGGATACAGAGACATCCAAGAGCCACTGGCACAGACAAACATTGCTGCTCTTCAGCCAGTGACGGGGTGAGTCCCTGAGACTGGGGCTTGGGTTCCTCATGGTGAGCGGCATCAAGGAAGGCTGCAATGTGATGGAGACTGTGATGGGCTGGGAACTCACTGGGGGAAAGGAGGGAGCAGTTGTGAAGTAAAAGGCAGGTGGGGGAGAGAACTGTTCAGAGAAGGGCTGAGCTACAGCTTGAGCAAGATTGAAAAATGTCATTTAGGGTCATCCCAGATTGATTTCATTTCAGAAGTTATGGAACAAGTTTATTTCTGTGGGATGTCATGTTTTCCCTTGGAAGTGAACACTCTGCAGACTTGAGCTGCATTGCCAAAATGCTCAAGTCTCTGCTGCAGGTCACACCATTTCTTCTTTGGCTGATCCTGGCCCGGTGCTGTGCCCAGCAGAGCCCTGGCAGAGCCCAGAGCAGCCTTAGCATCCGCAGAGCCCAGCTGCAAGGAGAGAAACCAGAAACCGTCTGTCAGCTGAAGGCTCCTGTCCCCTTGTCCCAGCCACCCGCGGTGCCCAGGCCATGCTGGCCGTGCTCAGAGCTGGGCCCAAAGCTGCCCATCACTGCTGCCTTTGGGAGCAGAGCAGGAGGGCAGGACATGTGCCCAGCCTGCAGCCAGCCACAGCAGATCCAACCCCTCAGCAGCTGCCCAGAGCGGGATGCTCCTGTGCCTGCTGCCATCTCCCAAAAGCTCTTGTCCCACCCATGCCAAGGAGATGAGGACCCACCTCACGCCATCTGCTGCCAGAAGAAAAGCTGGTCCCAAACAATGTCCTCAGCCTTCTCCAAGGGCACAGCCCATCCACACCACAGCTGGTCCCAAGCACTTCCCAATCCAGACTGGATCCCACCTAGAACACTTCCTTTAGAAAAACAAACAAGAAATTAATGAAAATAGGATACAGACAAAAAGGGGAAACAAGAAAAATGGTAAAATATCTTATGTCTGTCAGGAGCTTGAGGAAGGCCCAACCCCTACATTCTAAGGAAAACCCACCCATGGGTGAGGGAAGCCCATGCTTTCTCCCTTCCCCCCTGCACTGTCCCCCAAAATCATGGTGATCCCAAAACAAAGGAGGGGAGTGGAGCAGCCCAAGCCCTTCCTTGCGAGCACAGCAACAAAGCAGCCGTGCTCAGGCTCTGGGGTCCCACCTGTGCTCCTGCCATGGGGGTTTGTTTGTGTCGGGCTGGCTGCCCCAGCACCAGCCCAGGGCACGGTGGGTGGTGGGGGCTGTTGGCAGGGCCAGGATCCCACTCCCATTTTGTAACCACCCCAGCCCATGCCCCCAGCCCTGCCAAAAACCATCAGGGCAACCACTGAGGAATCAATTGCATCCACCCCAGCAAAGGGGAAACCTTCGGTTCCTGGTCAAGGCACAAATCTGGGAACATCCCCCTGGGTCTGAAATGAACTGAAAATTCTCTGTGGAGCCTGGCTTTGAAGAAGGTGACAGAATCAAAGTCCATCATCGCCAGCTCCCACTGGCCAGGTGGAGAAAGAGGTTGTCATTCTTGCTGTTGTCCCCCATGTCGCCAGCAGCAGCAGCAGCAGTCCCACCTGGTACAGCTTCTCCAGGGGCTCCTTCTTCCCTGGGGTGACACCAGGCTGTCAGGGATCTGCTCAGGGCCCGGCTGTCAGTGAACCAAGACTAGCAAAACCAGCTCAGATGGCAGCCAGCAGTGCTGGGCAGAGCAGCTCAGATCCAGCACAAGGGCGGTGTGTTCCCATTTGATGACCCCTGTGCAGTGATACAGACAGGACAAAAAGCCTGGGATTTTTTGCTGCTGATTGCCAGGGTATGTGTGGAGCTGTAACTTACCAGGTCCCTGCATCACTGTGCCTGTGGCTCTCCCCTTCTTCTAGGGCAGATGAATATCCTGCATCCAGGGATCACAGAACAGGTCTTCTAATGAGGGCCTGTCCAAGGAGTGCTTGGGGATAATAAGTGGAGAGGGATAAATACCACCTGATCAGAATTCGGCAGTCTGGGGAGAGAAACCACAAACCACCGGTCAGTTGGAGAAGGCTCCTGTCTACTTTGCCCCACTGTTCCCGTGCTCAGGCCACGCTGGATGCGCTCAGAGCTGGGCCAAACTTTCCCATCAATTCTTTGTTTTGGAGGAGAGCAGGAGAGCAGGACATGTGCCACCTCCTCAGCAGCTGCCAGAGCGGGATGCTCACGAGCCTGCTGCTGTCTCCCAACACTGGTGTTCCCCCCGTGCCCAGAGATGAGGATCCACCTTGGGAGAGCCATTGTAGCAGTGGGAGCTGGGCCCAGCTGATGTTCCTGCCCCTCCTGAAAGGGTGCTCCCCGCAGACCATCTCATGCAGCAGGATGCCCAGGGTCCAGACGGTTGCTGCCTCGCTATGGTACCACCCGAAGTCGGTCCATTCCGGGGGGCTGTATGACGGTGTTCCTATGGAATACGGATGGAGCTCATCAGGGGGATGCTGCTGCTCCCAGAGCCTGGCCCCAGCATCCCTGGGCATGCAGGGGCTGCCCCAGTGTCAGACCGGGTGACCTGCTGCCCTCTCACCAGCACCTGGGACTTGTGTACAAACTTGGGGTTGGAAAAGAAGCCACTGGTGCTGGAAGAGGGCAGCAGAAACCCTGTCAAGGCCCGACCATGACACGCAAATGTAAATACCCACTCAGTGCTGGGGAAAAACCATACCCACATCCTCCCTGACAGCATTGTCCCAAAACATTACGAACCAAGGCAAACCAGGCGAGCACAGCAGTCCAAGCCCTTTCTCACCTGCACACCAAACTGACTGGTGCAACAGGTTCTGCCTCTCCCTCTCTGCTACCCCAACCCACGGGGTTTTTTTTTGGGCTGGCTGCCCCAGCCCCAGTCCTGGGCAGAGTGGCAGGCAAAGGCTGACAGCAGGGCTGGAAGATGGCTCCCCACCCAGCCCTACTCAGAAGAAACTTGGCTGAAGACTCAGTCCTGTGACTGGCAGCAAAAGGGAGAATCCCTGCTGCCACACCCTGGTTGGGCCAGGAGATGCCAGGACCAGGAGCCTACCCCTGTGTGGGCTCAATTGAAAATTGAGTGTAGGCTGTCTCCTGCAGGTAGGTGCCACAGTCAAAATCAATCAACTTTGCCTGGCCTGTGTCCAGGTCAACCAGGATGTTCTCTGGTTTGATGTCTCGGTGCAGGACCCCGCAGCTGGTGCAGTGCCGCACGGCCGCCAGCACCTGCCGGAACAGCTCCCGTGCCTCTTCCTCAGACAGGAACCTCCGTGCCCAAATGAAATGCCGCAGGTCCTGACACCGCTCCAGGTGCTCCAGCACCATCACGATGGTGTTGGGGAGCTCAAGCGACTCCAGCAGCTGCACCACACCAGGGAAACCTGTGGACACCTTATCCAGCAGCACAATCTCCAGAGGTGCGCTGGTGCTGTCGGGCTGCGGGAGGAGCACGGTGCCGTCAGTGGGGCTGAGGCCGTGCCAGGGCTCGGGGAGCCCTCAGCCAGCCCGGGATGCTCTGCGCCCTCCACTGGCCCCACGCCCACACTCCCTGCAGGCATCCTGGCGGCTCCCACCCTGCTGGGCCTCGGCTCATCCCCGCCCGGCACTCCCTGGCTTCTGCCGCTGGCCCCGCACACTCACCAGCTCGCCCCAGTGCCGGACACGGTTCCGTGGCACCCGTTTGATGGCCACCTGCAAGCCAAAGGGAACAGCGAACTGAGCTCGCCGCCTACCGTGTCCAGCCCCATCCTCCTCCTC